GTTAATTAATTTATTATTAGTAAATCAACAGAAACTTAGTAATATATCTCCCAGTCAATCAAATCCATAGCATTTAAGTAGATAAACATTAGATTTTTTCCCTTTTATACTCAGTAAATTAAATTCCTTTTTTTAAATTAAGTAGAACAATTTCTTATTATTAGTAAATTCATTTAGATCATAAGTATCAATAGTAAACTTAAGTAGAGTAGTCGCGATCAATTTTTACCGAATATTTAGGGAATATATCAGTGATAACTAACATCAAAATAATTAATCATCAATCAAAACAATCTCCAAATTCACATCTGAGTAAACGTATCATCAACCTCATATCAACTTCAAAACCCAACGCATTTCATCCACCATTAAGAGGCGTCCAGCGATATAATTAGCGCCCCGAATTTAGTAAGGGCTCAAGAGCTAATTACGAAATTACGTCACATCACATCACAACAGTATACCTTCAAGAACTTCAGAACACTACTCCAGCTTCATTCTTCAGTTTACACAACTTCATTCTTCCAAATACTCAACTTCAAGAAACTCATCAAACTTCAGCAACCTTCCAAATTTACCAGCAATTACCAGAATTCAATACAACCATCAAATTTCATCAACCCTCACTATTTCGACAACATTCCCAAATTCATCATCATCAATCATATATCCAACTTCATCAACCAACAGATCTTTCTCAACCGAACTTAATTAAATCTATCACTGATATACGCCCGCCCACATTTTTTTAGAGCAGGTTTAGATTAAGCAATCCCACCAAACATAGTTATAAGAAATTCATTCAAAACCATAGTCACCTTTAGTTTAGAAAAAAAAAAATAGTTAATAGTTTATAAGCAAGACCGACACACATTATAACCTCAAATGAGTCAAACCAAAAGGAGTGCAGAAAACTGTTGGAACATTCCCACACCGACACCGATGTCACAACGACACAATCTCACGGCGAGCACAAAAAAAAAAAAAAAAAAAAAAAAAAAAAAAAAATTTCTTCGTCCTTCATCTTTCCCAAACCCCAAAATCACCCCAAAACTAGGAAAAGAAAAAAAAACAACCCCACCGGGGGGAGGATGTAGCGGACCGCTACAATAGCGCAAGTCACGTGACCACGATGCGCGCGCAGTCGACCCGGGTAGGCACGCGCAGCGAACCAAGAGACGAGTACAGTGTAGTGTCGAGCGCCTGGAGCTGTACATCTGATCGGATAAGTAGACTGTAGCCTAAGATGTCTAGCTAATAGAAGTAGGGGTTGGGGAAAGGGTGTAGGTTGGGGCAAAAAGTAATTCAATCATGTAGTTTATTAGGTTCTCGAAGGGTCGTGGTCTGGCAATTAATATCGTAAATTAGAATTCACATTTGCTAAGTCTAGTAACCTTTTTCACGAATTAGAATAAGTCCATATATATATATTTCTCTGTTCATTATATTATAATTAGATACATTAAGAACATAAAAGCTGGCTGTGATAGGCAGCTAAGGTAATATTGTGCACTTTGACGAGTTAGATTAATTCGTTGCAATTGAGTTAGGTTACGACAGGAAATGTGCGTGATTTGGCAGTGGTTAGAGGAAGATATATAGGGCCCAGGGATCTTCATTTACACTCATACTACACCACATCATCACAATTTTATTTTATAAACAGAACTATTTTTTCGATTAGCCTAGTAAACCTTCATTAAATTTTTTCATTATCAGCAAGTTTGGTTAGTTTATGGCAATTAAATTAAATTTAACCTACAAACAATACCATAGATACGGTAATTCATCTACGACGATACGTTTTGACAGCGACAGTGATAGAGATAACAATTAGCTGCGAACAGTTCAGTAATGCACGGTATGATGTGTTCGGCACGGCGCCGTGGTTTTCTGTCGGGAACGTCTCGTACTAAAAGTGCCTCTTCTGATAGTCACTTTCCTGAAGAGTGGTACTTGCAGCTGCAAAACTAATTTCTTACCAGCAACCACACTGTGTTTCTGGAATTTTTTCATTTGCATCGTTCCTGAAACTAGATATAACACACCAAAAACCTGTTATCGTCTTTGTATCACATCCTTTATTCTGCTTATGTTTTCAGAACTGTATGAGTACTGTTTGAACGAGAACATAGCCGACAAAAACCTAATTGCAAAATGGAAGAAGCAGGGCTATGAGAACTTGTGTTGCCTCAGGTGCATTCAATCCAGGGATACCAACTTTGGGACGTCCTGCATTTGCCGTGTCCCCAAGGCCAAACTTGAAGAGGTTAGATTTACGATTTTAATCTTACTCAGTTTGTTTGGTGGAAGATTTGGAATAAGCTAGGCAGATTACTAAGCAATATAATAAATTAAGCAAAACGCTAATAAGTGTATTATCCCTCGGCTTAAATAAAGTGCTATAGTCTGTATGATGAAACCTGCTCCTGACCTGGGAACTGGTTAATGGCCAGAGGGTCAGGAGGTATTAATCATCAATTAGTTGAGATGGGGACGCCACCGAGTTGTGTATTTTATTTTAGCCTAGGTACAGTAAGACGCTCGTTAATTCGGCAAGTTTGGGACTTCGCTGAATTACTGAATGTCTTCTAAACACAGCCGTTATTGCAAGACAAGCGAAATACCGCTAATATTAGCATTTTTCACGATTACCCCCAATGCATGTTGATCTCTCCTGTTGCAACCGACTTTTCCGATTGCTAAAGATATTTTCCAATTGCTCATGACTGCAACCGCTCTTCCGATAGCTATCATCTGGCCCAATCTCCCTCGATGTCGGCACAATGCTACTGACTGACATTGCTGATCACTCCTGTCGTCGTTTGCTGAATCCCCTCCACCGACAGCCAAACACGCTGCAATGGCTTAAAACTAAGTTTTGTAGACCTGTGTATCGATGCCGGGAAACATTACCAAGTCTCTGGTGTACAAAGCAAACATACCGTGTTGACTTCTTTACTGTCATTCCCCATACATAATAGTCTATTTGCAAAATTATTGTTTTGTCAACATTTTCAAGTTTGAGTTTTATATGGACCGTTTTGGATCTGGCTGAACCAAAAAAGTGGTGGCTGAACCAAAAAATATATGATGTCTGTATGTATGGATGTATACAGGTGTAGCTACGGAGTCCACCCATGGTCCGATTTTGATGAAATTTGATATGTGGATATCAAACCCTCTCCAGACATTTTTTTCATTTTTTAGAAATTTTAACTTTTAGTTATGACAAGTTTTCCATAATCCCATAAAATACAAAAATAATCTTATGTTTACAAAAATTGCTCAAAAGCTTTAGATTAAAATTTAGTAGAGCCCTTTTTATCATGAAAAAATTTTTAACAATCCCAAATGCTCTCAAAATTCTGGTTCTAAAGTTAATAAAAATTTATTTAGAAAAATTGCAACCTTCGTGCTCTTGCCCGTAAAATATCATAGTTACTTCCACTTGATATGGGTTGTTGACAAGCTAATAGAAAGTATTTGTCAGGTTGCTGATACTGTTTATTTACTTATAAAATTCATTTGTTCTCCAGGGACGCATCGTGGAATGCATTCACTGCGGTTGCCGTGGATGTTCAGGTTAAACCCAAGACTTCAAGATATTTTGTAATGTATATTAAATCACTTATCACTGTATATTTTAATCTAATTTAGTGGTAATAAATGTTTTTTATGTATTATTTTGGTTTTTATTCCTCTACACTGTTTTTTTTCCCCCATATTCTTTGAATAAAGGTTCTGAGACATCATGGCCTGTAAGCCCAAGCTCGAGTAAGAAGGGGCAGAAGGGTCGCTGGAATAATTTTTTTCTGGTGATATTTTGGCCTTATTGTCAGAGTCGAACCAATAGTTTAGTTTTATAAAATTTAAATCAGTGTCTAAACTGTTGCCGCCTCATAGCCTGTGGGTTTATTGTGAACAATGTTGGTACTGATGTTATTCCCCTCTTCTGAATGTAAATACCAATACAGTAGACCTCCAATCAACCGAATCGCCGATTACTTGAATCGTTTACTTCAACAATTTTAGAAACGTAAAGCTACATTAATAAGTTTTGCAAAATATCAAAGAATTGTTATTAAAGACATTTAGCCAATGAGTAATTTTGGACTTTGATGGAACACTTTTAACTTAATAACATGTATAGAACACATACTATGAGCATTGTAAACTGTAAAAATGTTCCGATTTAATTTATTAATAATTAAAAGTTCATTTAGTACTGAAAATGAGGAGTTTTCTTTAAAATTCCCAGAATTCCAGGTAAACTCCGATTATCTGAATGGCGTCTGGTCCCCATTGATTCGGATTGTCGGAGTTCTACTGTATTTATGCAATCAAATTTGAAGAAGGTATATGTTATATAATCGTGCCGATCCCTCAAGTAGCACAATACATTTGATATCATATTTGTATAAAATAAATTGTGGATGGAAAGTAAAGGTATTAAAGTTACCAAATGTGTATTGTGATTTTCTGTAAATTTAAATGACTTTGATCAAACATGCTGGAATGATAACAGTAATAATGTTACACAGTTATCATTCCAGCATGTTTGATCGGAAAAAGAATAAAAGAACAATGAATTGTCTTTGTAATCCTTTAATTTATTAATTGTAAGTAAACTATTATTAGTCCTTACAACTAAATATATATTGAAGTACTATTTACAGGCATTAAAGGATCTTAATCCGACATTTTATTTCATATATTAAATACATCACTGAAATAATTTGATGGTAAAAACACCATTCAAGGACAAAAGTTCTTAAAAAAGGTGGAATAGACAAAATTTTAAATTCAAAACAAAGGCGATTGATAACAACTTTAGTTTCTTGACGAACAGCCATTAACAAAATGTTAGTACAATAGAAAATAATTGTTGTGACAAAAGTTCATGAGTGACACAAAAGGTGTAAACATATCTTATAAAATTTCTCTATAAGAAAAAAATAACAGCCCACTTGAATTAAGTTGAATTGAAAAAGTGTAAATGCAAAAATATCAAATCAATTTAATAACTTATTTTTACCACACAAATGGTTGGATCATTCCACTACTAAGATATGAGGTGGCGATGCACCATCTGCTCTTTGTTGATGAGATGGGTCGTGTGGTTGACAAGTGACATCAGAGAGTCGAGTCCACTAGCCCAGTCGTCCAACACGTCACTCGGGTCCTTGATGGTGCGGAAACTGACCACTCCGGCCGGCCGGTCAATCTTAGCCGTCACCGTCTTGTTGACCACCATCTCACTGAGAAACTCCTCAGTTTCCTGAACAACAAGTACACAAATGTTATTTGGACAATTTAACAGGTTTAACAGGTTAAGCTAAAACTATCAATCATCAAACTATTGCCGCAAGTTAGTTGGTTACACACCTCGTTCGGCAGATCCAACAACTCTGACATCCGCTTCAGTGTAATCCGGGTGTAGTACTTGGACATTACTCGGATGTTCTGAAAAAATTACAAGGTGTGAGCTAATGTCTATTATGTAGGCAAATCTTGGTGGATGATGACTATAACTTACATTTAGGCACTGATCAGAGTCTAAGATACAGGCATACAAAAAATGACAAAACGATTTTAAGTCATGCTTTATAAACCCCTAAGATTGAGTTATCGATCACTTCACTGGTTACTGGAAAATGTACACAAGAAATAATTATTGATACCAGCACTTAATTGGTGGGTAAATATTTTCTTTGGATTTACGTCCATATACTAGTATCAAATGTTTCAATGACAATGAAATACAGTAGGGGCCTACCTAAAAACCACCCATTTGGTACTAGTTTAGGGGCCTGAGGGACCCTGACAAACTCTCAAACTGACTGGACTACTTGAGGTCGCTAATCTGGTGAGTGATTTATTTACTATTCATTTGTGCAAAATAATGTGATAAGCTACATTTCAATTGAACTTTTTAGTTTTTTATGACTTTTGAACTCGGGGAAAACTGTTATTGGACAAAGGCCTAATAGGACAGTACTACTAGCCCAACGACTGCAGATTTCCCGGTCCGTCTGAGAATATGTTTGTAAGGATTGCTTAGTTCTCTAGTGTACAGTGTATAATTAGCGACAATAGGAAGCAAATCAATTAACCACGAGAGCCAAATTACGACTTACTATCCACCAACTACTCCCTTCTACTCACATGTTCGACCACCCGACTCCGCAGGTCCTTCCAGCGCTTACGACCGTCCTCGTTGTTTGCAAACACCTCAGTCGCCTTCACTGTGGCCGAGCCTTGCTTCAATTCTTTCTCGTAAACCTCACACAAGCCTGACCACTTGATCAACTCCGGGTTAATGAACAGACGGAGTAACTCCCTGACAAAGGACAGAACAATTACACAATTAATTTTTTCATTTAAAAAAAATGTAGCCATATTATCTAGGTAAATGATAGTTTTGTATGCTAACACTAATAACTGTTTAAAAGTTTATTTAATGATAACTATTTATTTATTTAACTAATACCAGCACAGGATAGTTATAAATTGGCAGAAATCAAATCCTGGTTACAGATCGAAATCTATAGATGAAGAAGTTGAAGAAAATGGTTTTGTATTCTACAATGAGATGGTTTTTAATATAGGCTACCTGTAATTGAATTTTATTTTATTGAATTGAATTTTAACATGCACAATAGGTAAAGTCTTTACTGTACAGCATTGTGGTTGTAAAGAAAACCAATAGAATGCATAGGCCTAATAACTTGACTATGAAGTAATTTGTAGAGAGTAAATAACATTTTTATTAGAAAAACGAATAAACAAAACTAGCACCAAGTGTAGAAACAACTGGTACCAATTAAAATAGTGTGCTCCCTTACATTACTCGGAGGAACAACTTGTGTGTGTTTTTAACGTGAAACATTTATCACATTCTCAACTAGGCCTACTCACTTGTACGATGGGATCTCTTCCATGACCTTGTCCTCTAGAACACGATGTGTCAAGTCGCTCTGTTCATTGTCATACGGCGCCAACACCAGGTACAGCACAGCATTCTGTGCGACTGTCTTGCGCAGCTCTGCGTCCGCTTGCACACTTGGCGTAGCGGCCACTGCACGGTAGTGTTTACACGTTGCAAGATAAAACCCTTGGTGACAGTCCAGCTCGATCATCAACCTACGCACAAACAGATGTTCAGAATCACCTCTCACCTGTGTTGGTTATTGTCTGGCTCCAGGAAGTACATTGATTGCATCAACTTTAACTCTGCAAAAACGAGTCATGTAGATGTGTTGTGACATTGAAGCACTAGGGTAGGTTAGGTACTAATCTCTACATATGTTAAGGCGAAGATGAGCAAAGAATGTTCATCACGTGAGTTAACAGATTTGTAACTGATTAAGATCAGCTGTTACTTTAGCCACGGCAATTTATTAGCCGAATAACCAAGGACAGCTTGGTCCAGTTTCGATCCATTGAAAAGATTCTAACTATTCTCAAAATCTAACCGGCAACATTATGATTATTGAGGGAGCACTGCATCTACTCAGATACATGTTTGATAAGTCATGTGTACAGCAGAAGATGTGTACATTACCACCAGTGGTCACTTCTTATAAAAGACAAAGTAAACTAATTTTATTACACACATTTTGAAATTCTTATTCAAAATTTAACACCAGGACCAGACAATAAATGTCTTATCTCAACTATATTAGCATTAGCACACCAAGAAATCAGTGGTGGGGTTCAAAATGGTCTGAGAGACTATTTTGAGAAAAAATCACAGTGATTACTCATGCATCAAGACAGGCCAAACATACTTACTTGTAATACTTCAGTTTCAGATCAGATGTAGTCTCATCTTCAAAAAACTTTGTGTTAATCTTCTTTGAGATGATTTGAGTTCTGATATAATCACTCTTGGCCAAACACAGTCGCATCTGTTCTAAGATCAGCTCCACCTGAAGATAAAATTGAGAATATTTTTGTAAAATTAGAAACAAACTAACATCTGTCATATAGTGAGACATGGAAAACTATCTTTATTATACAAAGAAATTTTGGAATATGTAAGAATTAATTATGGTAAAACCCAACAATAGCCTACATTAAAAAGTCACATAGGAGTAACAAGTGTGCCCTAAAACAAAAGTTTTTGTACTTTGATTGAAGTTCTTTGATTGGTGACGGTTGTTTGACCAAACTACAGTTCTCTATGTGGTTTTACGTAGTGACTTTCCAGCTTTGGCTTGGTTAATGTACTAATTTTGTTAAGCTCTTCAGGCACTTTCCACCCAAATATGGGACCAGATCCTGAAACTTTGTGAAAACTTGTACTATAGGCCCTACTAGCTTAATCATACAGGAAAATGATTGCAATCATCTCTTAAATAACCAGGTTTTTTATAGTCATACGATAACATGGGGATGAAAAGGGTTGATTTCGCAAGGAGGTTATATAAAAAGAATACAGCTCACTCAAATCTGGGTAAGGTCTATGAATCAATTTGTCACTGGTATAAATATCTAAAACTATCTAAATAGTCCTTGTTTGACATTGTTTACTGAAAGTTTAACTTTGCCAAAATAAATAAACTAAAAGTACAACAAGTACTACCTTTAACTGTCTCTATTCTAAGTTGCTATTTAATCTATAATTCTAGGCCTACTGCATACCTAGCCGCCTCAATCTTATTTCCAAGTCAAAAAAATATTTTACCTTTTCACGTTTCTCCATAGAGCCATAAGTTTCAACTTGGAGCTCTTCAATGATGTTGGCCGCTTCTGTTATGTTTCCTTCTTCTTCTTTCATCTGGGCTAACTTGTGAGTAAGCCTAGCTCGCTCGACCTCCACGTAAATCTACCAACACGAAAAAAACAATAGAGGCGTCATAGAAAATTTTCATTAATTTTACATGATTTTAAATTTTGTGTAGACGAATACAAAATGTAACACAATCACTACAGAGAAAGATGGCCTGAGAAACATTAGAGTTAATCGTCTGGTAACTTACATAAAAATTAACCATTTTAAGTCTTCCATGTAAAAATTTCCAATTTTACTTCTATCATTCTTCAAAGTGACGTAGATATTTAAAACAAAGGAACTGTTGTAGTCCAAAACATTATTGACACAAAAACATTAATTGAAGATGACAATATTAACTGAAAAGGTGACATTTAAGAGGTAGTATCAATTGAGTAAGTAAATAGGGAATGGAGCTCTAGTAAACACATTAGGCCTATCTTCTCACTACACTGTAGTTTTTCCCAAACGCTACAGTGGCATTTAGTAGTTGAAACAAAGCCTACTCTACTTCCCCAAAGCAGGACGTTTTTAACTTTCTGCAACAGACTTTATCTTTGTGCTTTGCTTCACGTGTAAATGAACCGTGTGTGTGATAGTTTTAATGTTTTAATGAATATTTGGAAACAAATACATTTCCAAACACATATTAACGTACCGTTTCGAAAACGGATACTGCTAACATTGTATCGCTTTGGCAATTCGGTTATTCCATCTCGCAACCAAAGCACCGAATATTGACTTCGCAACTTTTGTTTATATAATGCATGACATTTTGTAGAGTTACTGTTTGTAGAAAGGAGAACTTTTTTGCAGAAAATAAAGTTGTCAACTTGTAAGTGTAAGAAAGGGTCATGTAGTCCAAACTTTGCCTGTAAAAATAAATAATAAAAAAAAAATAGGTATAGGCCTAGAAAAAAAAAATTGAAACTAAAAAAAGCAATTTAAAAAATTAAATTTTTTTTAAAACTAGTTGGGCAGGCTCAGTGGCGTATCCAGGGAGGGGGCCCAAGGGGGCCGGGCCCCCCCCGAAATTTTTTTTTTAGTTACCCTGTACACACGGCACACGGTAGCGTTGCAACGCGCGTTCTAGAAACAGTCAAATGAGTGTGTACACACTACACAATACGTGTTGTTATTATATAAAATGCCGAATTACTGGAATGTTATCAATAAAAACACATAAAAATGCAATAAAAACACGTCTCTGAAGATCGCGCAATCGGAAACCGCTATTGCCGCGATCAGGCATGACGTTTCCGAAATCGAGGGAAACGATGATAACGTGTACACGTCCGCGGGTGATGTTCGTGATTTTAACGCGATCGGGGATGACGACGATGACGTTTCTGTGACTGCGGGAGTAGACAATGATGTTTACATGGCCGCGGGAAATGATAAAATCTTTGCCGCGACCGTGAAAGACCACGATAATGTCTACATGACCGCGGGAGATGTTCATGATTTTGTCACGATCACGCAAGACGACGATGACGTTTCCGTAACCGCGGGAGGCGATGATAACGTCTATACGTCCGCGGGAGATGTTCATGATATTGCCGCGATCGCGCAAGACGACGATGACGTTTTCATGACCGCCGGAGAGAATGATGATATCTACACGGCCGCGGGAGATAATCAGAATTTTGCCGCGACCGCGGAAGACCTCCCGCCAAAAGACGCCGGATTACTGGAGTGCCGGAGTGGTACAGTGCCGATTATAGGGTCTTCTGTACAATGTTTTATAATTAAAAAAATGATGGCAGCTGGTACATATAGTGTCTTCTTCAGTATCCAATAGTCATTGCGTGTACATTACATATTTTTGGGTCGAGTTTTCGATCACTGAACGACCACTACACCTTTTCCAATTGTATTTCAGAAAGTATCACTTTTATTTCAGAATAGTCATTTGTATTTCAGAATCGATCAATTGTATTTCAGAATAGTCAATTGTATTTCAGAAGTGGTCAATTGTATTTCAGAATGGTCATTTGTATTTCAGAAGTGGTCATTTGTATTTCAGAATATATCAATTGTATTTCAGAAAATGTCAATTGAATTTCAGAATATAGCAATTGAATTTCAGAAATTAAATAAAATAATTTTCAACGGTTGGCACTACTGTTTTCAACCAACTATGTACATCTGATGTACTGTGTTTTGTTACTACAGAACACCTGATTGTATGAAATAAACATAAACAAATAATACATTGTTGATCTGTGTACCAGTGCTAGGCTATGCTTTGAGCAATATCTTTTTAACACTGTAATAATTTAATTTTGTTTACTTTGTAATTTCTTCGTAGGGTTTTTTAAAAATTGTTAAAGAATTCTACTACAAAAAATGGAGCTTAAAGACAATTGTGGCATTTGCATTCATTCAATGTTAAGAAAGCAAGTGATAAGACTTATTCCATGTAGGCACTTATTACATGAAAAGTGCTATAGAAATCAACTAGCAATCGCAGAGATGGAACAATGTCACGTTTGCCGACAGGAAATCGAAGAGACAGAAAATGTGATAAGAAAGGTTTACAAAAAAAACTGTGAAGAGGATAGGAAGAGGATTGTTAGCTGTGCTAACAGGGGAGAGGATTGGGTGGCACTTTGTAATCAACTGAATGTAAACTATAAAACCGCTTATGAATGGGTCAGGTCTGGAGAAGAAACGCCAAAGTTGAAAGGAGGAAAGAAGCCAAAAATACTTTCTGAGGAACAAATTGATCAAATCATAGAATGGGTTGAAGATGACTGTCAAATCAGTTTGAAACAAATCAAGAGGAAAGTTTTGACTACATTTCACACTGATATAGCCATTTCCACAATTGGCAATTATCTCGAGGGGAGACTCTGTAGAATGAAAACAGTTCACACTGAGCCCATTACAATGAACTCAGAACAAAACAAACGTTTGCGTGCGGAATATGTGAGAAACCTCAATCGATATATTCAAGAAGGTAAACAGATCGTCTGGTTCGACGAAACTAATTTTAATTTATTTTGCAGACGTAAACGAGGGAGGGCCAAAGTGGGTGACCGAGCAATTCAAACCTTACCAGCAAGTAAAGGGCCAAATGTTCATTTGATTTGCGCAATATCGGGTGCTGGTGTCTTGTGCATGGAGCGAAGAAGAGGATCTTTTCGGAATCAGACAGCAAATGAATGGCTCCAGACTATGCTCCGAAGATGGCAAGAGAATGGTAACGAGCTTAAGGACCTGGTAGTCGTTGTCGATAATGCTCCTTGCCACAGCAGGTTGGAGGACGTCATAACTGGGACAGACGCAGTGCTGCTGCGGTTGGCGCCATATTCACCTATGCTGAACCCAGTAGAAACAATCTGGTCGAAGATAAAAGCATTTGTGAAAACCAACCTAAGAGTCCCAAATGTCAATCCCCCTGGTGTTGTGGAACAAAGACTCGTGTATCTGGAGGGCATCGTCGACCAAGCCATGAACACTATAGTTGGTGGAGACTGTGCTCGTGCTGTCCAGCACACATCTGTGCATTACCCTGCAGCGCTCGGGATGGATAACATGCAAGTTGGGCGTTGACAATAAAACATTGTTAGTGTATGTACTTTTAACATAAAACTTTTTAAATGTAGTTTTAAGCCATGTTATTTTTAGCTCATTCTTAAAGTATTTATAGGGTGACCCGGGGCAATTCTGGCAGCCAGACGTGAACCTTAACTTTAACTGCTTGTACCGCGGTGAACATATTTTTCATTTTATTTTGACAATTACCATAGTAATTCTATGTTATTCCTCTAGTGTTTTCATATATTTAGACAACAATCTCAAACTCCCCTTAAGGGGGTTTGAGGTTTTTTTTTTTTGGAGTGTCAGATGCCAGAATTGCCCCAACCTTGGGGCAATTATAGCAATACCTTATATTTTCCTTATTGTTTAAATTGCTCTGACATTGGGGCAATCATGGCATAGGCCTAATTTAGCTGTTTAAGATGGTGTTTTAATTTTTGTTCTATCTCTATTTATAAGGAAGTTGTGAATAAACCGGTAAGACAGTACAAGCGTACAAGGGCCTTAACCTCAAAACTTCTAGCAACAATAAACAATAAAAATAATCAGGCTGCCATAGAGTAATCTAAGCAAAAGGTGTTTACAAAGCCATCCAAATGAACTGAAATGAAACATATTACACATAACACACGTTGTTATACAATTTATTCTTTTATTTATACATTATTTGTATAAAGATATATAGCTGCCATAATTGCCCCGGGTTCTTTGCCACAATTGCCCCATAGCATATGAAAATGGGGCAATTATAGCACCCATTTAAATTTAAATATCTTAAAGGGATAACTGCTATTACTATTTTTGTTCATGAAGTTTTAAGTCTGAACAATTATCTTTGAGTATAAAAAAAAAATATATATAAAATTCATAGGGGAAAAAAAATTAGCCGTGTGCGATGTTTCGATATCCTCGGGCTGTGGAAGAAAGTACTTTTTTAATCGCTAATAAAAAATTCTGCAAACATTTTATTTTTACAAAAATGCTTTCCTATATATAGGAGGTATATGCTGAAATAACAAATATTGCTTCACTGATCTGTAAAGCTGAAATTTAAAAAAAATATAGGCCATTGCTATAATTGCCCCGTGCCAGAATTGCCCCGGGTCACCCAAACATGTTACAAAATTTTTTTTTTTTAATTATGTTCCCAGTGTAGCTGTAGTACATATTGTAAATAAATATTCTTAACTTTGTACAAGTCTTCTTATTCACTGTAATAGTAAAAATGGTCACGTTAAGTACCGTAAGGTAGAAGATAAAAAAGTGTAAAATCTTAAGATTGAATGGTAAATGAGAACAGCTGAGACAAGAGCATTTGAGTTTCCCATTCTGAAATACAATTGACTATTTCTGAAATACATTTGATTATTTCTGAAATTCAATTGACATTTTCTGAAATACAATTGATATATTCTGAAATACAAATGACCACTTCTGAACTACAAATGACTATTCTGAAATACAAGTGACACTTTCTGAAATACAATTGACAATTCTGAAATACAATTGACGATTTATGAAATTAACTTGACACTTTCTGAAATACAATTGGAAAAGGTGTAGTATGCTTTATTCTAGGTATAAGTTGAGTGTAGTTTTGTTAGCTTGATTTATTTTATTAAAATTACGTCACGTAGATTAATAGTAGTTTAGGCAACTTGTTTAGATTTCAGAACAGTAAAAAAACTAATTTTTAGTAGTAATACACCAATATTATTCTCTACTTTAGAGCCTCCAGAGGTGTTGTAAACTGCAATTTACCACCATAAAATACCAAATTTTTCCCAGGGGGGACCCCCCACCCCCCGGATCGGGCCCCCCCCAAAGCAGAATCCTGGCTACGCCACTGGGCAGGCTGGCTTTTTTGCAGCCCTCCCCGTCTTTTTGTGACAATGTTGCACTGTCGCACGTAAGTTAGTTCTGCTTTGGGGCTCTGCTTTCAAAAGAAATGGTCCTAACGCTTTGAAGTTTTGTGGATTGCAAGAGATCTTCCTTAACTTAACCCATCATTCTCACACCAAAGTACGCGACGCCACAAACACTATTCTAGCAACACATATTCAAGAGCGCGTAGCAACACAAAAGATAATGAAAGATGAACATACCTTTCCTTCAGTGACACTGCGTAGAGTATCAATCAACTTGAGTTTTAGTTCCTTGGAGGGCATCAAATCAACATAAGAGCAACATTCTTGTACCATCTTAGCTACTGCCTGCTTCAGCTGCGACCTTCGCTTGGCCAACAATGTTATGTGTTCATTCAGCGCCGCATAATTCTTGGCTTCAAAACATATCTGAACGATGGCGATAAGTATGCGACCGGTCGAGAACATGTCAGCACCCTGAAACATTTTAAATTGCACTCTTGTTAATTTTTATAGATTGAAACTTTAGGATATTGCTGTTATCAGGGATGCAATAAAATAACTTAACAAGAGTCGTTAAGTTTCTTGGCTCAAGTTTGATTGAATATCCATTATAGGCCTAATTATAAGTGAACAATTTCAGTAAAACCCAAATAACCTGAGAGTAAAATTGTATGCAATTTTTTTTGGGCTATAAGGATTGAGAATTCATATTAAACCAAGGTTAGCAAAACACTTGAATGCAAACACTTGAGTTTGAAAATGTTTCATAATGTAACACAGGATGATATGAATATTAATTAGGCATACCATACAAACAATTTATTTTCATAGATTTCAAATTAGCCAAGGGCTATATATTCAGTTAGACGTTACTTAACTATAGACCTGAGTATTACACTGTTATCTTGGTGTTAATAAAATACCCACTACGGTTACCGTAGTATAAAATTAATAACCTTAACAAGTGAACGAGGAAACTCCACAGGGAAATTTCATAAATCTGATAAGTTACGGTAATATAAGTGGGAAATTTTCTTTCTAACTGTTCTAGTCTGCTTAATATAAGTGGGAAATTTCTTTCTAACCGTTCGAGTCTGCTTTTCCAGAGCTAGGAGAGCGTCAAGCGCATCATGCATTTTCCCTTCTTGTGCCATCTTTTTACATTCTGGAATCTTCTCATCGCATGTAGTACTGTAATCCACTTCCATTTTGACAATGCGACCCTCAAAAGCAAGATTCCCGTCAGCCATGGTTGTAGATCTAAGAAAAACACATGATCCCAAATGGTGAACACAAAAATTATCAACCCATCATAAAAGCGTCTGGAGGTTTTTTATAAGAAAAGTAAACACATGTACGTTAGGCCTACGATACAATAAGTTAAAAACTCTAAGCTTATCTACTAAAACATGGCACCTAGGCATATTGTAAGGTCTGGTTAGTCAGGGTTGTTTCAACAGAGTCTAAGTTACTAAGATACCGGTAACTGAATTGCAGATAATCAAAAGGACCTAAGTTATAACAGAATGCATATCTCAGAATCTAATGAGTCTCAGAGACTAGGATTGTGAATGATGCAGGCAATAGTGTTGCAAACTTGTGTAGCCTAACTATCTCAGCCTACAATAGAAAAGACAATATCGCAATTGTGAATATCGCAAGAATTTTACAAGTCAGTTAACTTAGGCTAGGCAGTCACATAAGTAAGTTTCTTAACTGGGCCTGGCTGCACTTTACTTGACGTCCTAACTTACACTCATTCGAATGAAAATATCGATCGATATATCGATTGCTTCATTCGATATATCGTTTGGTTAGTTAGGTAAGGTTAACCTAACCTAACTAACCAAACGATATATCAAATGAAAGAATCGAATGAAAATATTGAATCGAAGAAACCAATCGAATGAGTGTAGGACGTCAAGTAAAGTGCAGCCCTGGGCCTTACCCCCTCCCTCCCTGTGCAGTCGATTCAAACTATAAATTCTCAAAGTATTGACGACTAACCTAAGTTATTTCATTATAAAATTAAACTGTTATAAGTTATCCAACCTAACTGAACTAACCAAACTTGCTGATAGTAGTGATAGGTAATGAACAAAATGGAATGAAGGTTTAGTAGGCTAACCAAATCAATAGTTTCAATCGGTATTTGAGTAGCCCAGTTAAGAAACTGTAGGCATAAGTTAGGCCTAACCCGTCGTCAGTAAGCTACCCGTAGATAGATTTGGGTAAAAAAACACTTATATCTAAGGGTAGCCTAACATTGTATTCATACAAGATTCTTGTTGAGATCTTTAAATACCTTAAAACTAGCACAGACGTGAACGGGAATTAATAAAGCAGAAATGAGCTTTAAGTTATTGTGTACTGCAGTAGGACAATAAGATAGGTAGGCCTACATGCTAAGTTTCACCTTAGAGGGAAAACTAAAGTTTTTTTCGTAATGGACCTAGCCCACTAAGTTACATAGGCGATAAATGCGAATTTTCCTTTATTTATTCAAGTTGGATTCAAATCAATAAAACATACAATAAAGAGAGCCAGGGCCGTAAAGCGGGTTCCAAGTGTTAAAGACCCAGTACAGTAATTGAACTTAAGGAGTGAAATTATTACTAATGTAAATTATAAGATTAATTCAGTAAATAAAACAACTAAATCAACAATTATTTTAAATTTATCATCACACGGACTTCATAAAAATTGTACTTACATTAGACTAAAAACAACCCAAAATCTAAGTACACAAAATTGCGAGTCACTCACTCGGACGGAGGTTACATTTTTTTCTAGATTTCAATTCAATGTAGCCTGACTAATGTGACAGATGGGTAAACTTAAATTTTAACCATGCAACTGCGGGATCTAACTTATTACAAAATATATATCCCCCTTCTACCATGATATGTCCCTTTTGATTGCCTTATGAACATATCGTAGATTATACTATACTTCTTACCCTTCTATCATGCTTTTTACCGGCTATTTGCTATTTTAAGTAGCATTATGTCGTTTTATTGTTATTTGTGTAGCTATTATTGCTGCACACGACAGAAATGTTTACGCATGAGCCATAGGTGAGTGTGGAAAGTTTCTCGAGTACAGCAAAGGCAGTTTTCACTCGTGTTACGCATTATATTTTTCCTACAGTTCTACACATTTTATAGAAATAATTAGTCTTTCGTACAGTTTATGTTAAATCACGAATAGAAAAATGGTTAGGTTAAATCCAAACATTGAACGAAATGGGAAACGCTAAACGCTGCACCATTAGCTGATCGTAGTTGTAATATCTTTAAGTGTTGCCAACTTATTTTCAAGCACACACGTATTGTCTAGTAAAAGCATGTAGTTTTGTGTGGTTTTGTTGGACTACTGTGCGACAAAGTAAAAAGTGGGGCGGGGGTTCGGGCCCCACCCGGAAAAATGTTTAATTTAAAGCATAAAAACGTATTTTTATACATATTTCAGCTCTACAATTTGCTCAACTTAATAGTATCATAGACTAACCAACACGTATGTTTTATCTATGATAGTATTTATGTTAGCTAATAAAATATAAAATATTTGGGGGGGGGGGGAATATATCCCTCCCATCCAATAATCTCTGGGACGGCCAGTGGCTGGAATATAACCCGGGCCTACAGGACAAAGTCTATATAATATAATAGCGCTAAAATAAGTAGATTTCATATTACATACTCCACTACTGCTTACTACTGTTAAACTCGCTCATCACAGCAAGAAACTAGGCTGGTTTATTCTCAAGATGATAATGTAAATTTATTTCATTAGAACTTTTAAAAAACAACGCTTATCTTTCCTTTATAACAAGTCTCATATAATCAACCAAAGTTTGTATAAGTTTTCTTCAGAATTCAACAAAATAATGTTATACTTTATAATGAAATGGCAACCATACAAAGTAGTTATTTTAAGCCAAGTTATAAAGTATGAATGGAGATGAGTGTAGGATGAGTGACACGATCTTGTAGTCTTGTTAGTGACTAAGGCCTTGCCTACATATTCCTTAGACACAGCTGTTAATAGCCCATACAGCTAGTGGCAACTAAGGGGCCTACAGTTTATAGTGGAATCTGAACCACATTTTTGCCTTGGTATATACGAATTGGTCTAATTATCAGGATAGTACTGCGGATAGTCGTAGTACTCACTCGTGCGGACGTTAATCCACACCAGAGAGTATCGCATCCACAGTGCATGCCTATAAATATCCACAATTCGTGACCTCCTAGTAGCTGGATTACAGGACGACGCCACCCGTCCCAGTCTATACCGTATTTTATACGTGAGATTTACACAACAGTTAAGACAAGTTTGATCTCTGATAATCTTTTTACAATCAAACTTTTTATTCTTTATAACCAATCCCTTCAGGTGCTCCCTATGCAGTGGTGTAGTGGGGCGAGAACTTTGCTTTCTGCTTTTTCCAACAAACCTAAGAAATGGTGTGTCCGATGTGTTATGTCAGATATAATCACCACCACACCACCTATTTTTATCTAAACTACCTGTAACCAATTATTCCAAACTATTCACGCAAATGGTAGCATATAGGCTTTTGTAGACACTGAAATGAATGTTCAAAAGTTCAGGACCAACTTAATAACCAAAGTATTAGTTTCTTTTTTACTCAGGGAGTTCCGGAGTTGGCTAAATAAAAATTAAACTGAAAAAAATAAATGTACTCAGTTTTTAAAACTAATTCATTTATTTTTTTATGTTATACAAAATAGCACATATAGACATAAATTAAACCAAACATATATTTGTACAAAATATACAGGTCTAAATTAGAGTGTACTTGTGGCAAACTGATGATTATTAAAATACGGCAAGAAAATATATACTAGGCCTATCTACAAATAAATATTTTAAACATTTACTACACTTTTGTACTTAAAACTTACAATACATATTCCTGAAACCATTCAAATTAAACTAAATATATATTTATTTAGGAGAACATATTACAGCCAACTAATTTGTTATTGAGGAATATTGATTGACAAATGAATCAGATTCCATGTTTAACACTAAATACTTTGACAAGAAAGGATACGAAACATAATATATACTATCAGACAGTTATTGATACATGCACAGTCTAGTTGTCTTAGTACTCTGGTACAATATATTTCACATTTTATAGAGTAGACATTACAAGTTTCCACAATTTTATGGGAAACTTCATAATAATTATAACTGTTACAGGGATTACGACCATGTCACGTTTGGATGGAGGTAAATGGACGTTGAGATTGGTCAGGTGTGATACTTGACAATCGGTCTTGCTCCTTTCCACCGCTCAAGCTGAAACATAATATAGACTATATCAAATTTCATAACAATAGAAATATTTAATCGTAAAATAATGACCAAACTAAATGGGGCTAATATCTCATAACATCTGGTTGATTTTTGGGGAGTGGAGTATAGACACCCCACCAGATGTAGCATTTTATTTAAATAACATAATTGAATGAACTTTTACAGATAATCTCGCATGTAAGAACATTTCAGGAAAATGGTACATGTCATAGTCATAGTCAAATTTCTTTATTTATCTTGTATATACATACATAAATAGTGTCACAGTAAAGTAAAATAATTATAATCTTATGGTAAAAAAAAGCCCCGGATTGTTTTTCACATTACTTCAGGCTAGCCCTAGGGGTTGTGGCATTATCACTTAGATAAAATCCATTGGTTATTTGGCAGGATTTGAACCCGGGACCTCAGGGACTGAAGTCCCGTGCTTTAACCACTAGACCAGCTTGATCCCCAATAGAGCAAATATTAGGTTGAATATACATTTAGACAATGGACACATAGTTTTTTAAAAAATATGGAAATATACTTCAGAGATTAAGTGTATGGTTAGGACGTAAAACATCTGCCAAATTACCTGTAGTTTACATGTCGATGGGTAAAACTGACTGTGTGAACATTTGAGACACTTCCAACAATAGTTTCCAAGACTCCGTTGTAAATTAGCAAATCATCCACCAGGATCTGTAATATAGAAGCTGATTAACAAACAGTAATACAATTAGTGACCGTTATTTACAGTTACTTTATAAAAGATCATACTTAGATAATAAAACTAAAAACTACTAGACAGTTGGGAGTTGAAGTGACATCTTTTTCTTATTCATATGAATTTTTAAATATTAGTACTTTTTCCAGAAAAATCTGAAAAGAAACTGTTTACAAATTTTAGTGCTATGGCGATTGTATTAGACCGGACAAGAATAAAAAGTTATCTGTGATAGCTTTTGTATTTTCATTGAAGTTCATCATAATCGGTACCTATCTAATGTAATTCAAGCAAATATTACTGAACAAAGAGGTTTTTTTTCATGAATAGGCTTCCACCATCACACCCAGTAGATTCGTGGTATTTGGGAGAGGACTGTGTGAAAATTTATAAAACACCTCAGTTTACCAACGTTTCGGTATCAACGTAGAAGTTCTTGTTATACGTCAACTGTTCAAAAGTCAAGCCCTCCTGAAGGACTATATCACTCTATATCAAGACCAAACAGAAGTGTTTCATCGATTTTGACAAGGTCTTTGTGCAAAGACCATAAATCCACCGAGAGGACTTTTGTTTAACCAAGTGTATAGTGATTACCCCAAACTCCTTGACTCCACGAGATGGCGTCTTAGTGTAGTTCCAAATTTTGATGACAGACACTGCTACAGGACTGTCAAACACAATGTACACTCTGTTCAGCTGAAACAAACCACCAAACTTGTCAATAACTTGAGTAGATTCAAATACTGTTATTATTTCTTTTAATCTTTGACTATCACTATTGATACAACTAAAGATTCCCTCCCCATATTAATGTTGTCACCAGTTTTTTTAAAATCAAAAGCACCTTAGATGATGTGAGCCATCTAAATTACTAAATTTATGTCAAGTACACAATCCTTTTTACCAAGTCAAACTCAAAGACAAAAAGTCAATGGAATGACGTTTTGCGAGCGATAGCAACTGTTATTCGACCAATCAAGTTGATCAGTAACACAAAAATATAGTAGAAAATAGAATTTAGATACTAGCACATTCTGTGACACAAGCTCACACAACTATGACCTTTTTTGATAGAAATTGGCGACAGCTGGTCTATATAGATGGGACGTTCAATTCAGTAAATCCTATAGTCAATGATACAGGTATTCTTGTCGTCAATCTACTATTTATTACTATAGACTAACCTACAAAAGTCAACTTCTCATCGCATTGCAAATGTTTAAGCTCGTTTTTTGTGTTTAGTTCATGTCCGGTGACACTGATTGCTAGTGTCGACGAAATTTTTCGTTCTATTATTTTAGGGTTAATTTAATAATTTGTGCGTTACTGTATGGTTATATAACTAGCGGAGTTATTGTTTGTGATTAGATTGTTTTATCTGGTTAAACGAGGTTTTAAACAACTTTAATAACAAGAAACAAATTGTAAAAAAAAAAACAGCCTCTACAGTGGACCGGAATCAAATTTTCTAAAGCGTCAAAGACACACGTCGTCTCGTCACCAGATACATTTTAATGCTGGGTTTTCCTAGGCGCGGAGAGAGGAACGGAGAGAGCGGACCTCTCTTGTCTTAGGTAATTTAATGTTACTGTTTTCCTAGAAGCGGATGCCATGTTAATCGGTTTTCCGCTCTCCCCCCTCCGCGCTCCTCTTCCGCGTCTAAGAAACCCGGCTTTATACTTTTTATTTTAATAGATACATCAACCTTAAATACCAGGGCAAAATTTTGTTGACATGACCTAGCATGACATGGCTAGCCAATTATTGAAAAGATTATGTCTAGACACCGAACTTAATGGATAGAAGGTTAGCCAGACGTTAGATCAATATTACAAAAGTTGTAAAAAAAACAAAGTACACACACATTTTTTTCAAAAAAATAAGCTGTAAGCTTCATTGTTAGAACCGTGCTTGGTGCAATCTGCCTCAGCAAATAATATTACTTACCTGTCCAGGCAGTATGGGTGCGAGCCAAGCATGTCTGCCGTCGCTGGAGTTGTTGACACCATCGATCAGTTTATCAACCGTCCTCACGTCGTTCTCCATTCCATCCAACTCTCTCACACTTGCCGGATGAGCACTGATATCTAACAAAGTGTGACTAATTTAGTCACATTTTAGTTTCATTTTAGACATATGACTTTTAATGTCACAGTCCAATAATTCAACTATAGTCTATATTACAACTTGATAGGATTAAATACAAAACAACTTGTCAATAGACTTTTCCACAAACGGTCTAATGTACCAAGTTGCAAGAAATGACCCAACAGAAGAACCTCGATATTTCAACACTTTGTGGATAAGGGGGTATCGAACTATCTAACGATAGAAAGTCAAAGTATATTGGACATTTTCACACAGCGAGGATTTAAAACAAATTTAATGAATTGTATAACACTTGACAAAAAATAAACATACCTATCAACTTGCAACTCTACTGTACATTCTTTGACACCTAACTGTATAAAATAGTTCGTAATGTTTAACTCCTTTTCACTTTGGATGTTAGAAAAAAATTTAAATTAATGGGATAGGCCTAGTTACAGCATTGAGTTTTTGAGTTCACAAAAACAATTGTGAAGGTCTAGTTTTTGACTTCAGCATATCCGGCATTGGCCGTTGCCAACACAACATCTCAGCTTGTGTCAAACTATACAGTGCACCTATCGAGGGTAAAACTAATGTTTAAACTAACAATCCTAGTGTAAACGTCATATAAAGCTTGGTACTAATATAGGGAAAAATTGCAGGGATGATTATAACGGCGAAGTCAAACAATATATAAATTTAAAAAAAAACGCTGTAGTTTTGGATAGGGCAACAGTGACACAAATTTCTTAGAGAAAATATAAACTATACATTATAGTCTGCCATAAAAAACTGTGTTTTACTCACTAGAAGGTGTGAGAGTGATGACATTGCCAGCAGCATTATACATCTGTAGACCATTGAGACCAATGTAGTAGAGATCTCCCCAGGTAGACAGCAACTGTAGTTGGAACACAAAGCCCTGTGGCAACTCTGGGGGCTCATAGTCCAGTGTCAGACCTACTGTAGACATATACAGCATTATACATCTGTAGACCATTGAGACCAATGTAGTAGAGATCTCCCCAGGTAGACAACAACTGTAGTTGGAACACAAAGCCCTGTGGCAACTCTGGGGGCTCATAGTCCAGTGTCAGACCTACTGTAGACATATACAGCATTATACATCTGTAGACCATTGAGACCAATGTAGTAGGGATCTCCCCAGGTAGACAACAACTGTAGTTGGAACACAAAGCCCTGTGGCAACTCTGGGGGCTCATAGTCCAGTGTCAGACCTACTGTAGACATATACAGCATTATACATCTGTAGACCATTGAGACCAATGTAGTAGGGATCTCCCCAGGTAGACAACAACTGTAGTTGGAACACAAAGCCCTGTGGCAACTCTGGGGGCTCATAGTCCAGTGTCAGACCTACTGTAGACATATACAGCATTATACATCTGTAGACCATTGAGACCAATGTAGTAGGGATCTCCCCAGGTAGACAGCAACTGTAATTGGAACACAAAGCCCTGTGGCAACTCTGGGGGCTCATAGTCCAGTGTCAGACCTACTGTAGACATATACAGCATTATACATCTGTAGACCATTGAGACCAATGTAGTAGGGATCTCCCCAGGTAGACAGCAACTGTAATTGGAACACAAAGCCCTGTGGCAACTCTGGGGGCTCATAGTCCAGTGTCAGACCTACTGTAGACATATACAGCATTATACATCTGTAGACCATTGAGACCAATGTAGTAGAGATCTCCCCAGGTAGACAACAACTGTAGTTGGAACACAAAGCCCTGTGGCAACTCTGGGGGCTCATAGTCCAGTGTCAGACCTACTGTAGACATATACAGCATTATACATCTGTAGACCATTGAGACCAATGTAGTAGAGATCTCCCAGGTAGACAACAACTGTAGTTGGAACACAAAGCCCTGTGGCAACTCTGGGGGCTCATAGTCCAGTGTCAGACCTACTGTAGACATATACAGCATTATACATCTGTAGACCATTGAGACCAATGTAGTAGAGATCTCCCCAGGTAGACAGCAACTGTAATTGGAACACAAAGCCCTGTGGCAGGGCCGGTTTAACCCATACGCGAACTACGCCGTCGCATATGGCGCCACGAAAAAGTGGCGCCATCGGGACACAGTTTTTTTTTTTCAAAAGACAAAATGGGAAACATCTTTACTGACAAGTGAACAACTTAATTTTGGTTTTTTTCACTCAGAGTTCAAAAGGGAGTATGGTTTATGGTTCAAGAATCCAAAGCACCACACCAAAGGCATTTATTCTGTTTGTACCAACAGCACTTGAAAACGTGTATACTTGCATATTTGCAGTTTCAATTTGTAGTGAGCTGACGCTCGGCATCGTACAGCTCGGGGCCTGAGTTTATAGTTCTATGGTTTCATTTCATGACTCATGCTCGAGATAAGCGCGTAGCGCCACCGCCACTTGTCACAACAAGAAACATCCCCCGCCCTTCTCCCCCTGAAAACTCTCCCCTCCTAGAGCATAGCAGTACGTTAAGTTGTATTGTACTCTTAGTTGTATACCGTATCGTATTGGTATTATTTTGACGATTGTTATGATAAGTTAATGATTAGGAGTGTTTTAAGCTGATACCGACTAAGCAGTTAAAGAATTAGCCAAGATCAAAGCTGAGTTAGTTTTTAACTGGTAGGAACTTTTGAACTGTTCATCAAATTGAACATTCTGTATTATTTTTGTCAAGGTAATACTTCAATTTGGTTTTTCATGTTTTCTACATGTATTCAATTAAAAATTTCCTCTCTTGTCTCAGTTCCTACTGCTAAAAATTCCTAAAAATTCCTCTGCCTACACCTGTTTTGTCATTGTAATAGACTTTATAAAAACTTATATCGTATCAAAGTTATCCTGTAAAAATTGATTTCACATTTTAGAAATAAATTGCTAATTTTGTGTTTTGCTAAAGTGTATATGATGAGTAAAAGTGTAAAAATGTTAAATTTCTGTGAATAATAAACAGTAGTTGAAAAAAGTCTTTTATTGCAAGTATTCTTCTAACCTAAACTTATAAAAAAGTTCTTCCCAAAATTTTTGGGAAAAGAATTTTACAAATAGGGTTAAGTTATGTTCATGGTGGTGGAGTGGGGGGGGGGGGGTCCTAGGTGGCGCTGATTCGGGTGTTCGCTTAACTCTGAAAAATTCCTAGAACCGGCCCTGCCCTGTGGCAACTCTGGGGGCTCATAGTCCAGTTCAGACCTACTGTAGACATATATAGAATTATACATTTGTACATCTGACAGTTGATAACGCACAAACAATCCACAAAACAAATAGCCTGATGTTTTGCTTCTACAAGGGGGAAGTAAGTTGTGTTGTTTATTGTTCTGTTTTTGATAGTAACTCCATGGAACTCTTTTTCCGGGTAAGTTAAAGTTGTGTATAAAAATTATTCTTTTTTAATTTTCAATAGTCATTGTAATGTCTTTGGAAATAAATTGTATATATTCTGTTTACCTGCCATTGGCTATTGGTTCATTTGTCTTAAATATCTTTTAACAAATCCCTGTAACACAACTACTTCAAATGACCATTTGAAAATTGGTTAGAGTACAGCTAGCTTACTTGCAAAGTTAGAGTCCATGGACTAAAGTCTTATCCTTTGATGTACAAATTTTATTGTGTATTATCTACTAGCTCATAGACCCTGGTATTCTTGGGTAAGCTAGCTAAACTTCTCAAGCTCACTGCTTTAAATAGTAACTAACACCGAAAGAAAACCTACACGAAATTGACATTACAGTAACTATATTTTTAAGAGGTTGCAGTAATTTTGTAACATTCCGTTGTCCAAGAGACATAGTGTCATAACAGCAAAATGGCAACTTTTCAGGAGAGCAAGTAAAAGAAATTAACTTAAATTGCTCAGTAATTTCTTATATTACTTAGAAATGCAAACATTACTTAGAAACCACTCCTGACTCAAAATCACCAAATTGGGCAGTTACGACACTACGGTTCTTGAACAACGATTTATATAGCTACTCCAAAACAGGTACTGAAAATATTATGCAAAATCTATTCTTTAAAATAATCATTCTATATGCCTACCTCTAGGTGACAACTCAAGATTATCGATGATGTCGAGAGAGGACTCACACCTAGACGCCACAAGAGGTAGGACCTGTGCTAGTCTGTGATGGCGATGACCCGGAGACTTTCGAAGTGTGAACATCAACGGCTCAGAGTTGTCAAGGCGGACCAATAGTCTCTTCACCTGTTTGTAATACAATAAACTGTCAAGAAATAAAAAAAAAATTAAAACACATTAATTTTAAACAAATTTGCTATGCAGAAAATAGGTGGATAAATGACTGGAATAACAAAAACTATTTGCAATGGAACTGTAATTAGTCTCTTCACCTGTTTGTAATACAATAAACTGTCAAGAAATAACAAATAAAAATAAAAATAAAAAACATTAATTTTAAACAAATTTGCAATGCAGATAATAGGTGGATAAATGACTGGAATAACAAAAACTATTTGCAATGGAACTGTAATTATTAAATAACAGGTAATCAAACTGTTGAATGAATTTAAACTAAACTTGATGAAGGTTAATTTTTTAATCAAGACATTGATAATACTTTCTCATTAGCTTATCAAACTTTACTTCCAAGAACATCTTAACCACGTATGCCTATCCAGATTCCAAGCTCATCAAATAAAATGCCTTTCATTTTACTCAGTAATTTAATATATGACGACAAATTTTCTCGGCTATGAGAGCAATAAAACCATAGGCAGAACATTTTCACTTACACCGCAGTAGGACGTATCAGCCGAATGGTTGTAGTTCCACACCAGGATGGCGCAGATGTGGAGAGGCGAAGGGAGAGAGAGCCGTAGCGAGGGGGGAGGGGTGGAGGGGCAAGACCACATGTGGGACGAGTCTGTCGTGTCGTTAACTCCGTCTAGCAGCCTGCGGAGAGATAAGAGTAAAGTAACGCAGTGGAACATTGTTTAGTAACGTCTGCTGGTTAGAGGAATCAAAGTCAAAATCCCATCAACTAAAAAAAATTTCTCCGCCTCAGCAAACCTGCAGACTTAGCAAATTTCATTTGTCTGATTGGATTTGTAATATATAAAAATCTCCAGATTTGTTTGTTTGAATAACATTTGGTTTAATTAGTACTTAGATTTGCTGCTATAAAAAAGGTAATAATGTTTTTTTTTTTCATTAAAATTTTAGTACTGTAGCCTAATGTGAGATAAATAAATGTGCCAAATTTAATCAAAATATTAAACAAGCAAACCACAACATTTTATTATTTATTCTCCATAGGAAAACATGTGAATCATAAATGTATATTTTTTTCATTCTCTCTGTAACTATCAAGTGAACACATCACTTTAGCATACTAAATTAATTTATTTTATGATCTACAAAGTGGTAAAAAAAATAAATACGAAATTTGATGATTTATTAATCAAAAAGGGAGAAACGCCATGAAATCCTGTTCCCATAATCTGATGCTAATTCACAAACTCATTTGAATAAACGTAGGTTTACACGTAACAATTTCATCAGACTCGGTTAAATTTTATCTCCAGTTATTATACATTAGTTGGACACTCATACAAACATATACATTTGAAAAAATTGTGTTTTTAGTCTCTAGGGATATCAAAACTAAATCGGTCCCTGATCTAGAGTCTACCTTATCACCTGTGGCAATAGCTTCTTCTCTGTAGGAGAAATTCACTAAAATTATGGTTCATTTTGAAACCCACTATGTATTATACTGAGCTCATTAGGATCATTATTTGCCTAGTAATTAAGCTACACAGATCACCTCACTCCATATTCATATTCGTTCTACAATTTTTACTTATATTTATGTTTTTAAAACTCACCTGTGTATATGTGCGTTGGCAGGGCTGTGAGAACATGTTATTTTGGCAACACTCACTGGTTCTCCAGTCTCTCCTAGGACCTGAAATTATAAAAACTGTTGTAGCAGAGCTGACTGTTAAACAATGTGCACACAGGTAAAATAATCCTAATACTGTAATAGAATCCTTCCTTTGTTCGTAATGTATGTGGACATCATACATCTTTAGATGGATTTCAAACCATCGGATCATGGTATTGCCACAAAACCATTGACAATTACCGTAGCTGTCTCAACATAAGTTGAGGCAGACTAACTGACCAGAGGGTAGAGCAGGACAATGGCTAGACCAACCCTTCGATGGACCCTCCCGACCCTTGGGGCATATCCCATTAACCACGCATCACTGTATACTCCACTTAAAAGAGTAAACATATAATAAATTTGTTATGTCAGAAAATAATGTATTCTAGGTTATCACAAAACAAAATTGTTCACGTTCGTTCCATGTAAATTAAGTTTGGCTTGTTGTCCATTGTTGTATTTAGTGCTAAGAAGTTATTTTTGTACACTTATTTGTAAATAAAAGCACTTTTTCATTCATTCATTCATTCATTCCATGTAAATCAGCCGACTTGGTCGGGAGGGTAAGATCTAAAATTAGGTTTCAAATTCATATTCACTGACTGGTACACACCAGTGTTGTTAATTTTTGCTGTCCCAGACTGCATTAAATTCCAGATACAGTAGTTTATACGTCTAGTACCTAATTTTAGTATGGAGAATATCCACAAACAATATGTATACAATATTAACTCAGAATCACCACATATGGTCTTCTTACAAACTATTTCAAGTAATTTTTATATATTTTCTCTTTGTCGAAAATCATACTTATAGTGATTTTAAAGCAAATATCAACAGGCAATACCACTTATCCATCTTGAATATAAACAACAGTTAAAACTACAGTAATTGTTTATGTAATCCATCATGCAGATGTCAATAAAATCACCTCTTAATAATGAGTATGTAGGACAAGTTCAAATTATAAAACTCTTCAGGAACAAACCTTCCACTGTTGATTTAAAAAATTAAAATTGAATATATAATGTGTGATTACCTGTACACCAGTCAGGCCCACAAGGCCGTTGTAACCCCAGTTTTCTACCAATGAGAGTGTGAGCGACCTCCGACACATCACTGATCCCGTAGTCAGCGTACTTCCGGCCGGAGCACAGGTGAGGGGCCGTACATCCTGCGGAAAATATCATAAAAGTACAGTACATGCTATTAGAGACAAACTTTCCACTGTACTAGATATTCCATTTTTAGTTTAATTCAGCCTCCAACAGAGTAGGATCTACAGTTGTCAATTAGACCTACTGCTTTGTCGTACACACCTACTTTTTAACCAAACTAAACTAAAGGACAACTCACTATGAACTACAGCATCTTTCATTTCAACTACCACAATGTCGAAAAAATTAGAGAAAAAAATTATGTTGACGGAAGCTTGTTCTATGAGTGGGTCATTGATCTATTTTCACTTTGAATAAAAAAAACTAGCTCACAGTTATACCACTGTGCATTAGTGAAGTAAATCAAATATTACACAGTTTAAACCAGCAAACCAATTGTGTATTTAGCTGGTCCAAATAAACAAGATGCCTACCATGATAATTAATAACATCTACTGAATGTTTTTAAATACTTACACCCAGACTGGCTGTAAGAGGCCGTTCTGGCATCTTTGAAAACATCGGCTCGTGACTCGTGTCATTCAAGATGCTCTCAAACGCATCATCATGCTGAGACACCCGCTCCAAGATGTCTTCATCCGTTGTGAACAAGATCGTCTACAAGTGAAGGGAAATTGATTAAATATTAAGTCCGAAAGACCAAACCAAGATCAAATCACTGGACTGAAGGCTTGGCATTGAAGGCCTTAATGGCACTAAAAATGTTTAAAAATCAAATAAGTTTAAAACTGACAGAAATCCTGTTGATAAGAGGTGTGGCATACATAACACCTTTAGCAGGTTAGCCATTAGAAAAATCAATTTGTAATATGAGGTATCCATTGAAGAAGAAGCTAGAATAAACTTCTTAGGCTTGCATGAAAAATGTCAATGAGTAACTATAAAATCAAAGGAAAAAAGCAATTTTAATCAATGTTTTTATCCAAGGGACTACTTAAGTTTTAAAATCATTCCCCAAGTAAGGGCAGAAAAGCCAGGGAAATTAATTTTGTTTAAACTCTACTCTATCTAACTAGTTGATTTGCATGTATATACTACAGAAGTATGATTTCAGCCAAACTTACATCTCCAAATGCATCAGTGCTCCCAAGGATTCCGCCGCATGCCCGAGCAACTTCTCCTTGAAATATAAGCTGACCGTCTAGTACGACTGTCATGTCCTTGGCACCACGATAAGAGTGGATGCGCGATTTGTTGTAGTTCTATGGGCACATTGTTATACATGAGCCATACTACACAATGACTTCAACATTGTTATATTCAGTCTAGTAAAAATGGGAGTGTTGCACGACGTCCAAGTGCCACGACGTCCAAAGATATTATTCAGTGCCACGACGTCCAAAACATAATTTTTGAGTTGTTGCACGACGTCCAATATAAATTATTTGACTGTTGCACGACGTCCAAGTGCCACGACGTCCAAAAGTACAGTAACTGCCAAAAATATAGTCTTTCTAAAAGCTTTGGACGTCGTGGCACTTGGACGTCGTGAAACAGCGCACTATTGAATTGTAAACAAGTATCATTTGCACCACGTCCAAAGCCGCTGCCAGTTGCACGACGTCCAAGTGCCACGACGTCCAATAAATATTTGCTTGTTGCACGACGTCCAATATGCTGCAGTTGCACGACGTCCAAGTGCCACGACGTCCAATAAATATTTGACTGTTGCACGACGTCCAAGTGCCACGACGTCCAAAGTGCCTGCACACTGTGAACACCGTTTGCCGACCTCAGTGCATACAGTTTGCATTGCAACGATAGAAGGCAACTGGGCCTAATCTAAGAACTGTTTCATGTTGTCAATAGCTTCATCTTCGATTAATGTTTAAATTATTTAATATTCAATGGTTCTGATTGAACTAATTATTGTGTTAGCTTAAATTTTGTTATATGTAAATGACTACACTATTTCACAATACAATAAATAAATCACTAGCCCAAAAGTGTGAGTTGTAGTAGAATTCTAAGTACTGCAGTAGAATAGAGAATAATTGTCGTACAATATCAATTGGTAGCAAATTTACTCGTAAGATAAATTTATGCACAGTTTTATTACAGCTTTAAGATTTCACATTTAAGTACCGATATCATTGAAATTGTATAACTTCCATTGAACAGAAATGAGATGAGTAGATATTAATACACAGATATATGAATTTTCATACACTTATAATACAGTATGACGAATTCAGAAAAGGTTTATCCGTCAAATGTGCTAAGTATTATGTGAACTATCACTTATCAACTTTTTAAGCCATAATGGTGTTACTAAAATGGTTAAACATTTTTTAACTGTGAAACATGTATTTTTGTAAACTTTTGACTTTTGTTTTGACTTAAAACTTTTTAAATTTTGAGAAGGAGAAAACCGGCTGGAATGCTTTAGGTTTATCAATAACGAAGATAAACATGGTCTGAGTTACACACCGGTAATCTTTGAATTGACTCTTTTAAACTCATTGTAAATATGACTGTTATTCGTTTTGAAATTTTTTATGTAATACTTTGCAATTGCTCGAATTCGAACAACATGTACACTAGTAAGAACAATGAATTGACATAGTACTGTTTTTCTTGAAAAGTCATTGAAAGAACCGATTTGTTAACCATGGAAACATAGCAAAGTCATAGAACACCACCAAGTAGAAGAAATAGAGATTTAAAAACAATTTACTATTATTATCAACCTATATAATGAAGAACACCTACAGCTACAATATGAAGATTCCCACAAACAATGAACAAGGATGTTAGACGAAGTGCTACTATTTTGTAGGAAACATGGACTTAACTTTATGATGATTGGCAAAGGAACCCCCTAAGTCTGAATTAAACTGGTACGGCAAGGACATTAATCATTAAATATATGTTTTTATAAAAGTCAAGTGATTTTAAAAGAATGTGACTACGTCCAAGAAACCTTAATAAAACTTTCATTGAAGAATTCGCATTATTGACATTTAAGAGAACAAAAAACCATCTGATCGACATGAGGCCTAACAATTCTGCATTTTTCAGGTAAATGTAATCTACGATATAACATTAACTAGCCAAATGAATGTCAATTGATGCAAACAAAATTTAGACAGAGAGGTTATGCAGAAAATCAGGTAGTTCTTAGTCATATAAACAAAATGTTATCGCTATAAAAAATTGGCTGAAATTTGTAAACGTACTGGCGACAATGGGTACTTATGTCAATGGGTAACCATGAAGACTACATTATCATTGACGAAGATCAACACGGACAACCTAATATGGCCATAAGTGGGAAACATTTAAAAAACCAGATCAGCTTTTGAAAAATGATAAACTATTTATAAGAAATGTTGATTATATGGAACTGTTAGGTACGTATCTATGAGTTGAGTCTATTAAACTCATCAGAAATAATGATGACTTTTATTTGTTTTTAAATAACTAATTTACTTCTTTCCAATTGCTCGATTTCGAGCAACGTGTACACTATTTAGTAATAATTAATACGCTACATGAAACTTTATGGGTTGAACTCCTCCGCCATTGCTTAACTGATTTTATCCATAGACGTCTCATTGGAAAGAGCTTGACGAGTAGATTTGCAAACTGACCTTACATTTTTTTTTGGTCCCTTGGGCTCGGCCCCAGTGGCTGTTAAAGTTCCAATGCTACCCTTATGAAAAACATAATTGTTTACATTTTGATCAGCTGTATAATTTAATTGCTGTTATTTATTTTCCAATTCAAAGTCTTTTAAACTCATTGGAAATTATGATGACTATTATTTCTTTTTAAATAACTACTTTACTTCTTTGCAATAGCTCGATTTTGAGCAACGTGTTTACTAGTTAAGAATTAAAATACAACACAAAAGTACGACAATGTCAACCAAAAACACACTGGGAGTAAAGTGATTTACATTGTTTTGGATAGGCGATAAGGCCCCGGCCACACGAGGCGGTTTAACCGCGCGAAGTTAAGGGGATCGACAACACATTGAATCAAATGAGAGTGGCCACACGAGGCGAAGTTTAGCCGCATGTACGGTTGAGCCGCGCCATGTCGTCCCTCGACCGCGCGAAGTTAAGCCGCGTTGGAGGGGATGACACACGTAGTCTTATGAGAGTGGCCACACGATACGGTTCGACCGCGCGGTAGCCGCGCTTATTGGAGATATTCTTCGGACATTTCCAGTGGTTTTTTAGTTTGTTTTGTGTGTTTGTTACCGGTTGTGTGGTACTAATTAAGCACTAATTGAACTTCTAATGAGTGTATCTTCATTACAGTAGTTATATGTGGTCTGAGCAATTCAAGTAACTCGTCAAACGATGCTACAGACATTCGGTAATAATAAAAAAAACTCTGAACTATGGTTTCATACGTGCTCGTAAAAGGTTTGGAATCACAAATGGTTTTTCCGTTATGAAGGGATGGACCCAATGATTTCTGTTAACATTTGGTTTCAGATCACCACACGGTTCTAATGCACTTCTAATGCACAAACTAACATAAGTGTTTCGTCTGTGACTAAAAAGAGGGAACTGAACTATGTTTTAATAGAGTACTTATACTGGGAAACTCAACAGGAAGCGGTTCATCCGCCCCGTGTGGCCAGGTACTTCGCGCGGCTTAACTTCGCGCGAAGATAAGCCGCGCGGCTTAAATTCGCCTGTGGCCGGGGCCTAAGGCATTGTATGCGTGTATATGGGCGTGCGTGAGACAGACAGGACTAGGCAGGATCCCTTATCAGCTCATTATCATTTATTGTTGCAGCTGCTTCTGCTTATTGTTTGTTTACGATTTCGGTCGACAACGTGCGCCCGCTCCCAATTAATGTAATTTTTGTTAATCCGACGACCCTAGTTGTTATAAAATGTCTATATAGATTATTTTTTTAATCGTTATGGTGCTTTATGATTTTGACTCTAACGACTAAATTGGAGATTCAAATTTCGACGTATAACTTAATTACATTTTACAAAACCTTTTAATTAAATGGTTAATATAATACTTCTGCCCCTTAAAATCATGATTGGTATATACTTTGAGGTAAAAGAATAGCATTAAATAAAACATAAACAGAAAAACAGAACAATATTTTTATTTTTCTAAAGTATTTAGAACTCCATTGAATCTCCATTTAACCCTAGACAATTGTACAAGGTACGTTCTACGTTAGAACAAGAGTTTTTATATTATTTATTGTATTTTTTGCCCCAAGCGAAGGGGCCCCCTTCAACTCGATCTCCGCGGCCGTACGTTCGTGTAAACGGCTTCATTGAAGTAGAAACTGAAACTGGTCCGTCACTCAGCCTGGAGTCCGGAAAGATGGGGACAAGGAAACTTAGGGATACGGTAACTTGGGGACAAATAGGGTCGTGAGCCGAGGGGGAGGCAAACGAAGGCTGACTAAGCTCTGAGAACGACTCTTTAAATCTACTCGTTATCTATTGTTATTGTACCTAGTTCTAGTTGTAACTACGACTTGTTGTATTTACATCTAGTTGTATCTCCCCTTAAATGTTTCACCTTGTTTAAATGGTTACTTTTGTAGAGCTTAGGGACAACAGATGTGTAGTACATTGAAGTGTTTTTATAGGGATATTATATTAAGAACTGGTTCAGATGTCGATACAAAAATTTTTTCTGAATTCTTAAAAGTGGTGGTTATTTAGGCCTAATTTCTTTCGTCGTCAGTTTATACTTATTGAAATATTGATATACAAAAATTATCCAAAACACTAATGTGTATGATATTGGACACGTTTTCTTCAATTCTTTACTGAAAACGTCACTTACCAAATACCAATAATATGACGAGATAATATTTCGTCTGAAAACAAATGCCGATCCGTTTAGAAATGTGTTCTTCCTACAAATTTTCACTTGTATCTTTAAGTTATAAGTTTACAATCAGTGACGTGTTTTGGAATCACTTCCAGGACAATTAATTTAGGGACAAATTTTACACATTCGTTATCGGTACAAGTTTTTGAAAAAATGTATTCTCGGTTCAATGTACCAGTACAATTGGTGCATAACCAACTCATGTCACAGACTCGCGGGCAAGAATATATCACATTTATAAATATACATTGAGCCATTTTCACCAATTTTGTGATTATAGTCTTCTTAAGCGTTTCCGACAAAAATGACAGCGAATCAGAAATTCAGATATAAAATTAGAGTCCATCAGACGTACAAAGTAACCAAATACACC